CGGCCATCTATGAAACCAAGCTTATTTTTGGCTTCAAAAGCCATGGTTATGGCCCTGCTCCATGTGGGATAATTATCACCTTGTAAAACTTGAGAAACAAGAACAGATCCAGGACTGTCTGAATGGTGTAAATAAAATGGTGATGAGGAATCTAATTCAGTATTAGCTGGTGCAGAGAGGGCTGTGGATTCTGCAGACATAGTGAGACAAAAGAAGAAAATGAAGCTGCAGGAAGAATTCCTGCTCTGATACCATGTAAATTGCTGAATGTTTCTTATTAGTTCATAATGTATGTCACTGCACATATATATACAAAAGAACCATATCAGAATCATAACTTAGCTAACCTTGTGCCTAGAGTCTAGGACAGTTATAACCGTATACAAATATGCTCCTGATTCTGAGGGATTTAGCTATGCAGATCTGTTTATACCAGATACTGTTTATACTCTAATGGTTACACATCAATCAAAATATATATAAAGAAGGTAAAAATAAGTGTAATTAGAAGAACTGAAGAATTTTACATATTTCAGCTGAAAACATCACCTGCACCGCTCAAGGTCATCAGTGGAAGCTCCAAATGTAGGAGTAATCTCGTGGAGTGCATTCAGAAAATCATCCATTGTAACCTTAATGCTCTTTTCATCCACTGGTTTCGTAAGATCATCCATGCTTAGCTGTCTATTCAAAGCAAATGATACTGCAGTTTTCACAACACCTTCAAGCTCCGCTCCACTATAGTTTTTTGTACGAGCAGCTGGATAATAAATCATTAGAGCCAATAAGAGCTTTTAGGAATCATGGATAACGGTTGAAGTTGTCCACAAGTTAAATGTTTCATACACTTTTTATCTATATAGACATCAGCAGAACAATCCAAATATAATTCATCTTAGCTTTTGAGGCATTTGCATCCTACCTTCTTCTACTTCTTCTTCTTCTTATTATTATTATTTACTTCAAAATCAGATAAGATTTTGAAATTATTAAAAGTGCCATGATTCTTCTGGGAAGTAGAGTTATAATACACATTGGTATGACAGGCATCCTAAATTTTCAATCTTCCATGGCACTTGCATATATTAAATTAACAGAATTGTTCATTCAAGAATGAACATCCAAATCCAACAGTGCAACCGAAGATATTCTAGAATAAATTGAGTCTAGGAGTAGTAAATTAAGAAAACAAAAGTATTTATCCAAAAGCTGACGAGTAGTTTAAGCAAACAAAAGCATTCATCTTAAAGCTGAGGTGATCTTAACAATGGAACTCAGGAGGAGGGGGTAAACAAACAAAATTAATAACACCCCCTTCAATGGTTAGTCCTTCCAAAGCACTGAAGAAAGTAAAATTCAGACATATATCAGAGATAGACATACCAAGTTCTTTAAGGTTAACATCAGGAGCAAGAAAAGAATTCTCTTTCATCTTGTTTGTATGAATTTGAAGAATCTGCAAGCGGCCATTTTCATCTGGAAGGCTAATCTCAACCTGAACCTCCAAGCGTCCCAGTCTACATCCCAAAAGATCAAAGATTCATGTAAATTCTTAGGAAGTCATTAGCAAGTAATTCTTCATACTATGTCAGTGATCTAAATCTCTGCAAATCAACTAATAAACTGTAAATACAGATACATTGCATATTTTTAAAAGCAAAGACTCACTTCTGGCTATATATTTTCCCCTTATATTTTCTAGACCACAGGTTAAAAATCTTTTCATGGGTTGCCACATGTTCCATAAGAAGCAACACTTAATTGTGGCCCAGAACAGGCATAGTCCACAACATGTCAAGAAGTGTTAAATCCATTAAAACTTATTTCTAGTCTTTAATTCCTTCAATGCCTCTCATTGTATAGAATGATCCAAAGTGAGATGGTGCAATTCAGTAGCAGAAACTGAAGAGAAGAGGGTGGAAATAAAGGCAGGAAACAGAAACCTTAAAAGGGCTTCATCAAGCAAATCTTTTCTGTTGGTCGTTCCAATAAGCAAAACATTATTTAGAGACTCCACGCCATCTATCTGCAGGGTAAGTAGCATCATAGTTATGGAAATTACATTACTGACACACTGACCATGAGAACCCCCACTGGTGTTTCATGGAGAAGAAAAACTAAAAAATATTAATCTGTAACTAAGATTCAGCAGACATTTGAAACTGATAACTCACCTTTGTAAGCAGCTGATTGACGATGCTATCATGAACTCCTGTACCATCTCTAGTAGATCCTCTTGACTGAAAATAGGAAACAAATTATAAATTATACTGTTCCTTTCTTGCAGGTACTCCAATCATAAATATTCAATTACCAAAGCTTTAGCATGAAGGTAATTAGGCCACCTAGTATCACATTACTTGATGATCAAAAGATAAGCTGGTAAAATATTTTCCATGCAATCAATACCCTTGATTATGCTATGATGATTCTCCACATGCATGCAGGGTGGAATAATACTTAAATCAGTTTAGCATAATGATTCTTGGACTTAAACTGGATACTATTATCTAACTTAGCTGCAAATTGATTTTTGAAAGTAAAATTATCACCTAGTGATAGCATGTTGAAGAACATCATGTTCCCAATGTGACGATGAACAAGAAATTAAGGGGCATAACATTTAGCTAACCAGATCAAGACTTGATGAGAAGAAGTTCAAGTGACAAAATGCAAAAGCTAGAATAGAACTATACAAGGTAAAGATAGAGATTTATAAGGAGTCACCAAAGGAAGTCCTTTCTTATCTCAATACAGAGTATATTCAGAAAAACAATGGCAGCATACAGCAATACTGTTGAGTATCATTCTCGACTACATCCTAGAGTTCAAAGGCTTTGAGATAAGTCTTCATCTTAACAGCCCAAATGTTGTAATTTTCACCATTGAAGATCAGGGTTTTTGGTGAAAAAGAAATGTTGGATTCCATGACAACAGGGTGCTCTCTATTCACGTGTTTACACTAGGTTTGGTGGGTTTTGGTTATGCTTTGATTAACTCTCTCACAGTCCCTCAAAGATCAATAGGGCTCTGATACCATTTGTTGGTTTTTTCCACAAAGAAATGGAGAGAAAATCAGGAGGAAGATGGAAGATGAAAGGCAGAACCCACAGCATGTCTGATTAATTCAACCTTTTGTACACAAAAAAAATTACAATGAAAAGTTAAGATTTGACTTCTACTTTTCCCAAAGTTGTGCTACCTTGTCTCCTTGTAAGTAGCCAATGCTATGACATATCAGTAAACAACAGAAAAAGGGCAGCATATCAATACGAACTAAACTTCAAAGCCAACAGCCTATTTCTTAAGTTACATTCAAAAGCTAACTAAGCAATAGTTGCCCTGTTTCATTACTTTAGCTAATCACTGTGCTGTAACTTCAAAAGTATTGCTGGACATGTGTAGCTTTGCTGTCACGGCTACACTCAACAAATACTATTAGTACTAATACCCATGGGGCTAGGCCATAAACCAAAGAATTATCCATTGCCTTCATGATCATCAAAAGGATTTCCAGAGAGTAATATCACCATCAAAATTATCAAGATAAGAAAAAAGTAAGGATTCCTATGAGATTTGTGCAATTTAATCAATAAAGATTATAACTAATTAGCCCTAGCCTACTGGGTACTGTGGCACCTAAATCCCAGAAAACTATTAGGTGTCCCTTATTTAACCAGATTCTCCAGAATTTGCTCAGAGGGGAATAGGAAAAGATAAGGAGGGTTGACCCTACCTGTCAAAGGACAAGACGATTATTGTATAAACACATTCAAGTTTAACACATACAGATAGCATCTAAAGTTAAAGGGTAAATACTGGAAATATTGGTCCTCATTGTAGACATCATGCTACTCCCAATCTCAAGTTAAAGGGCATAACATAAAGCTGTTAAATCCAGTACCTTACAGATAGCATCAATTTCATCAAAAATTATGACATGCAAATCACTTTGGTCACCTGAAATGTCAAGGACATGATAGATCATTATACTATTGACAAACTAATCCACAAAAATATAATAAAGGAACTAGCAATTTTAAATCTCCCTTACCATGAGTCTGTTGATCATTCTCTGCATCGGCAAATAGATCCCTAACATTCTTTTCAGTTTCACCAACAAATTTGCTTAGAACTTCAGGGCCATTAACAATCTATATGATTCGAAGAAGAAAAAAAAAAAAGAAGGAAACAAATTACAATGTGTTAATGCAATAACAAATTCAATCACTACAGATGCCCATTATATTACAAAAAAAGTTTCATTCGAGATATGTTCAAAGAGTGAAATAACAAAAAATATGTCCAAAGAGTCAAATAACAAAAACAGTAGGAAACATAGGCTCTATCACCAAAAGGTATATACAATTTCAGAAAGAAAACATAGGTTCTCAATCCTATAGAAAACAAAAAGGAGAAATGATAACATATGTGGATTGTTTGCTTAAAGTATAGTGCAAATAAATACAGTATACTCCTGTCCAAACCTTTGGTTCCCTTCCATTCAACATCTTTCCAATTTGACGGGCAATGAGAGTTTTGCCAGTACCAGGAGGTCCATAAAGTAGCATGCCTTTTACATGCTTAATCCCCAATCTGGAATTCAAAGACTTTCTCATTAGTGGATGATGCATAGCTACCAAAAATATAAATATGATAATTTGAGATGTTAGCTATATTACTTGCTTGTCACATGGGGAGGGAAAACCCGAGAGGCAAAAGCTCTTCGAAATCTATCAGCAAACTCATTGCTTAAGCCTCCTATACCCAGTGAGAGGAGATTAAACTCCTTTTGCCTGAAGATGTTGCTACTGGCAGCTTCACGCTGATTTACAATCTAAATAGCAGAAGAGCAAGTTACCGAATCAATAAAGCTGCTCATATCAAGACAGTCAAATTTTAATTGAGATGAGAGGATAAAATTAAAAATAATCTCTATGACTCATCTCAAATTGAATAGAAGTCATCTGAATAGAAGATGAAAATAAAGAAGTGAGAACATGTGGTGATGTCTAACCTTTATTCCACTTGAATTTGATGCCTCAAAGATAATACATGTCTCATTTGAAATCAGCCCCCTTTCAGGAGCATTAGATCCTTCTTGCCTCTCTAAAACAGCTTGATTGACAGTAAAAATATAATTATTCCCATGATACTTAAAGGGAACTCTTTGGCCTGCAGTCATAACCTGCACATAAGGTTACCAACGTTCAATGACCAAAAATAATAAGCAAAGATCAATCAATTCAGTCCATTCTATATGCATTTGAGTAGCAAGAAAGTTTGTGTGAGTGAGTCTAAATCCGCCCATAGAGATGGTACCAACCAGATCTACATTTCTTTTCCCCTTCTACATAATAGCAATGAAATGATTACATTAACAATTGGACAGGAAGTTCCAGCCAACAGATTTAACCTCGTGGAAACAAGTGAGCTTCTAATATTTTCTTATTTTTATATATAATAGCCACTCTTAAGCAGCTTGTAACTGTCAAAATAGAATTTGTATTTAGTTTTTCTCTCACCCAGAGTACTAAGGACTGCACCTAACTGACAGCCATTAGATACAAATCATCTGTTCCATTATTTTAAGAATGAAAACTCCCGTAACATTATGAAGGCGGGAAGGTAATTCAAATTTCAAAATCAGCTCATCTAAACAAAAATAAAGACAGAAGAAAAACCTAGTAGCATGCCGATGAAACAAGTCAACCATATAAAACTCTACCTGGCTAATAAACCTCTGTTTTAACTGCGTATCCAGCAGAACAGCATCAACCTACAAAAGGATCGAAAAGATTAATCCTACCACCCTCATGAAGCAATAGAAAAACTAGTAGGACAGTAAACAAACCATCAAGACTGAAAAACTACCTGCTCATTCTTAGTCCGCTTCTTGATGAATTCCAGCTCGAGTGTAAGCGACGCAAGGTTAAAGTTATCTGGAGGAATAAATCTATATACCAAAGAAAACTCAGAAATTATTAATAAAGTGGAAACACAAAAAAGAATAAAAAAAAAGGTGTGAGGTTATTGACCTGCTCACAGATATGGTGTCACCAGTAGAAACTTTTGCATGCCGTCGTTGGATGGCATTCAGGGCAATGTAGCCGCTACGTATACTTTCATGAGGAGTAAACGTAAGTTAAGGCCTCAAAACAACCAGTAATATGGAGTAATTTTTTAAAAGTTTGATCTTTATAAAAGCAACAAGTTTATCAAAATAATGATTAGGGCTAAAAAAATAGTCGAAGTTTAGCACCAAATAAAAAAGAGGAACTGAAAAATAACACAACATAAATATCTACTTTCCTATCTTTGCTCATAAACTATATTTTAGAGATTAGTTTCTACTTCACAGCTCAAGCAGTTCCTCTCATAAATAAGATAGTTTATGGCCTCAACGCTCAAATATCTAAAATACATATGGTAAAATCAAAGCAGATGAAGTAAAATGATATCAAATTATCAAATCATCAACATATGAAGAAAATGCCATGAAACTAAGGAAAGCAGCTAGTGATGAAGGAATGCACTTCCAAGATCTTTCAGCACTTTATCAAATGTGGTAGAATTATCACTACAAACACAAATATCAAATACTGATGATCCATAAACACGTGCCTAAAATGAAACTCTGACTGTAAAGCAACTAAACAGAAATGAAACTACCATGTAACTAAACCAATTCTCATTCTCATCAATTATAAAAAGAACCAGCAATACATTATCAAATAATCATTCGCCTCTAAACATCAGTTCATGTGATGGCTAAAAAAAGGAAAAAAAAAAAAGAAAAGAAAAAAGAGTAGAGCCTCACGCATATTGCAGTTAATTAATCAGCAAAATAAAGAATCACACTAAAGTATTCATGCTAGCAACCGATTATCAACTCATCTGAGAATTATCATGTGCATCTGGATTAAAGGCGTGATTAATCCTCAAAATCAAAACAATTCTTACTCTCTCGAAACAAAACAATCACTCCTCATTTCTCAAAATTATCGATCA